CCGTACCTAACGCACGTCTGTTTCGTCGCTCCGTTAATTACCGCTGCGTATCAGTATATATTATAGTGTATATATATTAAACTTCTTTTTGCCTTTTATTCTATTAATCACCAAACGTCTTTAATTCTCTATTACAATGTGAACCGAGTTCAATTCGTAATAGTTTCAAGTGTCAATTACCTGCTACGTCGCGTATCGACTACGCCACGCAACAGAGGACGACCTTTGTCCGCGAGATAAACATGTCGAAATCGCAAAAGGTACAAACTAATAATACAAATAATAGTATTACTATCAGCAAAAACAAAACTAATATACAGGATGCTCGCCAAAACAGTCCTTCAAATAAGCCCGATTCAAACAGCATGAATAATGCTAGCCATTCAGCACAAACGAATAAACGTAATCTTTCCAGCTCCTCCAATTCAGCTTCCGAACCATCAACACCGAATCCAAATAAGAATATTATTTTAACAAAACATAAAAAAAAGATTTTTGTTACACGTAACAGATTCGAAGTACTTGCCCAAGACGATCCGTTTGAAACTAATACTAATGGAAATATACCTAACTCTCATCAAAATAATACTAATACTGATGCCGAAACTTTCATTAAACCTCCTCCACCTATATTTGTCAAAGGTGTCGAAGATTATCCCGAACTATGTACGACCTTAATTGAACTAATTGGTGTAGACAATTTCATGTGCAAGTCTACAACTAACTCATTGAAAATTCAAACCACGGACCCTAGTGCGTACAGGGCATTAATACAATTCCTCAAAACAGAAAAAGCTGAATATCATACTTACCAATTGAATGAGGCAAACCACTACGGGTAGTTATTCGTAACCTTCACTCATCCACGCCTCTAACACTAATAAAAGAGGAGTTAGAAGTTCGGTGTTTTGAGGTAAGGCAAGTTACTAATGTTTTACACAAAGTCAATAAGAACCCCCTTCCACTATTCTTCATCGATCTTGAGCCAACACAGCAGTCTAATGAAATTTTCCAACTTTCATCACTACTTCACTGTAAAATTAAAGTTGAAGAACCATATAAACCAAAACAAATCAGCCAATGTTTCAACTGCCAACAATACGGACACACCAGAGGATACTGTGGATACCGTGTTCGTTGTGGAGCGGACCACCAGTCATCTGCATGCCCGAATTCACGAGATGTCCCTCCGAAATGTGTCCACTGTTCCCAAAACCACCCAGCCAACTACAAAGGCTGCTCAATCTACAAAGAACTTCAACGTCGAAAGATACCCAGCGCACCAAGTAATCGAATAGATAATAATTATAAAACTAAGTCCACTAATGTACAAGGTAGCCACCCACCTAGTCACGCTCACTCTAATCCACAAACGCAAACTTACGCTCAGGCTACGTCCAACATTCCTGCTAACGACACTTCACCTCCTATCAATGCAACTCATCCTCCTGATTTAAACAAATTAATGTCCAGTTTTCTAGATGAATTTAAAACATTAATTAATCCACTTATAGCTCTATTAACTAAAGTAATTTCCAAGCTCCTCGACAAATAATGGCCAATAATTATAATAATTCCGTCACTGACAACTCGCTCCTAATATTACAATTTAACGCTAATGGTCTCAAAAACCATGTCCATGAACTCGAATCTGTTCTTATCAACAAACGCATTGATATTGCCCTCATTTCCGAGACTCACTTCACAAAATACTCGTATATCCATATTCCTGGTTATACTTTAATTAAAACAAATCACCCAGATAACACAGCGCACGGTGGTGCTGCTATTTTTGTTAAATCCACTATAGAATTTTATCCCTTGCCTAGTTTTTCCCAAGATTTCCTCCAATCTTGTGCTATCAATTTAAAAATAAATAATACTCCAATCACTATTGCTGCTATATACTCACCCCCTAAACATATTGTTACGGACATAAAATTCTCTGACTACTTAGCACATTCAATAACTACTTTATAATAGGCGGCGATTTTAATGCCAAACACCAGTCGTGGGGGTGCCGAGTGAATAACCCGCGAGGTGTCACCTTGTACAATTTTACCAATCTAAAAAAATTTAAAGTTCTAGCTCCTCCTGATCCAACGTATTGGCCTTCGTCTTCCCGGAAAAACCCTGACATTCTAGATATTTTTGTGACCAAAATTCCAAATAACTTATTTAGCACTACTAAAAATTTACTTGATTTAAATTCCGATCACTCATCAGTGCTCTTAACTCTCAATACTTCCCCTACTTATAAAGAATCTAATAAACTATTTAATAAATTCACAGACCATTCCAAATTTACTGAACTAGTCGATAAAGAAATACATTTAAACATTAAACTAAAAACTCCCGACGATATAGATTTAGCGATCCACAACCTTACCAATGTTATACAAACTGCAGCCTGGTCAGCTACAAGTACTTTTCTAGCACCGCCCACATCAGATCCATTACCTGTGACAATACGTAACAAAATAGTTGAAAAACGGAGAGCTAGAGCTCTCTTCCAGCGCACTCGGCTCCCTTCCCATAAACTAAATTATAATAACCTGGCCAATTCCTTGAAAAAAATGCTAGCAAAAATTAAGGCAAATGTTTGGCAAAATCACTTAATGAAGCTTACTCCCAAAGATGGTAGTCTCTGGAGGGAAACCAAACAAATTCTTCGTTATAAATCACCAAATCTCCCTATTAAGAAATCAGATGGCAGCCTTGCCATTTCTGACTTCGAAAAAGCAGAACTCTTTAAGGAGCATCTTTCTCAAACTTTTCAACCACACTCTGAGATAATTGACAATGAAAATATGAATACGGTAGAAACGTTTCTGAATGCTTCCCTTCCTCTAACTCTCCCTGTCAAGTCATTTACACCAAACGATGTTAAATATGCCATACTAAAATACTCACTAAACAAATCACCGGGCTATGATCGCATTACTGCGGAAGTAGCCAGATCCCTTCCAACTAGAGCTATCGTTCACATCACTCACATATTTAATGCTTCACTTAGACTTTCTTATTTTCCTCTACTTTGGAAATTCTCCACTATAATCTTGTTCCCTAAACCAAATAAACCGCCGGACATTCCATCGTCACATCGACCAATTAGCCTTCTTCCATTTTTCGCTAAAATACTTGAACGATTAATTCTGAAACGTATTATACCTATCATTACTCAAAAGAATATCCTTCCAAATACTCAATTCGGCTTTCGGGCGTCTCACTCAACCACACACCAAGTGCACAGAGTCGTAGATGCTATTTCGTATTCCCTGGAAAAAAAACTTTATTGCAATTGTGTGTTCCTAGACATCGCACAAGCCTTCGATAGGGTGTGGCACGATGGCCTTTTATATAAACTTAAGAAATTCCTTCCACCCACTTACTATCTACTTATCAAATCCTATCTAACGGATCGATTTTTTCAAGTTCGCCACGGTTCCGCTCTATCTGATTTAGCTTCTATAAATGCTGGTGTGCCTCAAGGTGGAATCCTATCTCCAATTCTCTATAACATATTTGCATCTGATCAACCTATTACCCCCAACACATCTGTAGCTGACTTTGCTGATGACAAAGCACTAATATCCATTAACAACAATCCAATCTTAGCGTCAATAAATCTTCAAACTCACCTTAATGCTATGGAAAAATGGTTTACAAAATGGCGGTTTAAAGTTAACCAGAATAAATCCGTTCACACAACCTTTACCCTAAGACATACTCCTTGTCCTGGTGTTGTCCTATATGGAATTCCAATTCCCTACTCTCCAAAAATCAAATACCTCGGCCTTACGTTAGATCAAAGATTAACGTGGGCTCATCATATCAGAACCAAAAGATTAGCATTGAATCATCGTCTCCGATTACTTAAACCCTTTTATCCAATAATAATCACACCTCTCTTAAAACTAAACTTCTTATATACAAAACACTATTGAAACCACTATGGACCTACGGCCTTCAGCTTTGGGGCAATGCGAAAAAGACAAATATTTTGAAAATCCAAACCTTTCAAAATATCGTGCTTAGAAAACTAACGAATGCTCCACCTTACGTGTCAAATCATACACTACACACCGACTTGAAACTTAATAAAATAAATGATGAAGCTAAAATCTTTTACAAAAGATTCTATTACCGTCTAAATAATCACCCTAATCAATTAATAAAAAACTTGGCCACTCCCACAATACCTGGAAATCCTCCGAGACGTCTGAAGCGTAAGTGGTGTAGAGATCTCTTAAATTAAATTAAATTATATATTATATATTAAATTAAATTTAAAAAAATTAAAATTAAAAAATAAAAAAAAAAATAAAAAAAAAAAAATAAATAATTATCAAGTTAGTAGATAGTGCTATCAATGGGTGGCTTCTTTCAATAAAACCTCATGTTATGTTAACCTTTATCATATTTTCTTATTGTGTCTAGTATGGATACAGATTGTTAATTACTTTTGAATATTAAAAAAAAAAAAAAAAATATTCTATTAATTTAAATTAAAAATTACTTTATGTAAAATTATGAGCATTTTACAACTGTACATTCTTTACAAATTTGAAATGCTCATACCTTTCATAAACATCGAGGAGCAACAACATTTTAACATCTACGTGGGGTCTAGATGATATATTATTACCTTTAAATTTGATAATAGGCGAATTCAACAAGCGGAGTGACGCGATACAACGATAATATGTACGATATATTATCAATCATTATTTATCATTATACATTAATATTATATGATAAAGTTTACTGTTTTTCCCTCTAAAGTCTAAAGGGAGATATTATCTGCATTTCGTTTTTATTTTTACTAACTATAATCAAACAAATAATTAACTTAATTTTAATTTCTAATCAGTGCATTCATTTAATTATTTTTCTCTGTCATCCTTATTAATCTACAGTTTTAGGCTCAGCGAGTGCTAAAAGGCAGCCCTGGTTATATTATGCGCATAACCATATTATAATATAACTGCGATAATATATTATAATGTATAAGCAAAGGTACTAACCTCGCGGTACGGAACGGTATTAAACGTTCCGGTTTCACCGCGGTCAGTGGCGTTGGCGGCCGCGTAATTGTCGCCGGCTCGTCTGATTACGCACGGCGGCGGGTGTTGGGGCTGCAGTGGCGTCACGTCTTTGCTGCTGTTATCGCGACTGCCACCGCCGTCGTTGACAAAAATAATCGCGTTATCAGTAGCGGCACCGGTGGTCCGACCGTCAATACCGCAGCAACCACAACCGTGAACACGGTCCATCGATCTCCAAGGCGGACGAGGAGGACGGGTCGCCGGCTCCGGCAGGGTGTCGCGGCCGGCGGCGGTCAACCGGTACTTGACCCGGCGGTTGTCGGCCGTCAACCGGTCGAACTGTCGGACGCATTTTTGCAGAAAGCTCTTGGCCGCCGCGCACGGCTCCGGAGGATCGCTTTCCGCCCAGAAATGGTCCGACAGCTCCCACTGGCTGATAGCGTTCCGTTTCATCGGTCCTCGCTCACCGCACCCCCGCCGAGGTCAGACATCGATATCGGTCGTCGAATAACGTTAATTTATTATGTTATTTATTACACTGGTGTCGACGTCATTACATCGATCTATTAGGGTGTATTCGTGTACAACAGGTAATGCGTGATGTGTCTTGTATACAGGTAGGTATCGCGTGTACAATATTGTATCGGCCTCAGAGACCGGAACTTCCGCCGAGACGTTGTTATGACGTAGGTAGGTATATTATATTATAGTGGAGCCATTCGGACTAGAAGGAAATGCCGGTCAGGTAGCCGGTGCTATAGTTATGAGGCGCTACGTGAATATACTATGTATATATATGTATAACAATACTTGGATGTTATTATAATATACTCGTCGAACGCATTCGGTGTTGAAAAAAAACGTTTTAAAACCGAATCAAACGTCCGTGACGCGACACGGTGGCCGTTATATTATACGCGTTTCCTTCCAGCTCCTATTATAGGTGTAGCTGTTATCTGAGCGGTGTGGTTTCGCTTTCACTTCGTAGTCGGCCAAAATGCGAAAATCTTTACCCCGAAAGGTTTCTTCCTCCCGGTACACCCGATTTACGTTCTGCGGTAAAGCGGAGTTCCACCGATAGGAACGACACTCGTCGAAATTGTTGGGAAAAGCGTACTCTGATCTGGCTTGCACAGTATTTATCTATGAAAGTTTAAATAACATAATCTTATAATATTTGTATGATATTAAAAGACATATCATAACTGTGTAGCTTATCGAGTGTACAACGGTGGTGATGAGCGTGTTAAAATATTGTTATGTATCAGAAATATTTTACGAGACTTAAGTCTATAAACTATAGATTAATAAAACTTATAAACTGGTATGTTTTTCTCGTGAATAAAAAATTATTGGAATTTTCACAGTTATTTTACAAAAACACAGAAAGTAGGTCAAAATGTGATTTCATAATGAAAATCAATTTTATTAACATAACGCTCGGTTAAAATGTCATTTTCTGTACTCAATAATAGAGAAAATACGTTTTATATCTATAAATTGATATTATAATTGTATTGAAAGTCGTAACCATTCAACAAATTGGAATTTGAGTTTTAGTGTTCATTATAAAATATATATTTATTGAGCATATTTCATTTTTCGAGTGGCTATCACTGAAGTATTATATTCTCTCTTATAAATTACTACTATCACAAATTCGAGATATTCATAAAATAAGTCTATTTTATTCACCGCCAATAACAAAAACGGGTTTTCCAGGACTATGACACGTTCAAGTGATATTTTATTTGAACAAATAATATGTAATATATATACAAATGTTGATTCATATACATACATATAGTGATAACTAAAGCGGTAAAGCATTATTTGATAACACTGCTAGTGTATTTGAAATTTTCTAATAAAATGGAGGAATACATTCCACAACAATGACCTTTTTCAAACGTTCTGCAACATAACAATAATCAATGAAGCCCGAGAAACTCGGTGGAAATGTCCATGAAAAAAGTAGGTGTACCTAAAATATTATATAGATTATACTGATTATGGGTAATGTATTTTGCTGTACACGTTGTTCTAATATTATCCGAAAAAAAGAATGATGATCTTACACGACGAGGGTCGAATTATATATCGTTTGGTTATTTTCTGTAGTGTTATAGATTTTGAATTTCTCGACGATATAATATGCAGGTTATCTCGGTTATCGATACCGAGTATATCATTTATCAAATATCAATTAACCTGGTTCCTCGAGACTCGAGTATAATACATCTGTATATAATATAATATGTATAGCATGTAGTTAATTTCAATGTAATTTTAATAATTTAATACAACGGAGGAAATTATTTTATAATGTTACAAAATCGATACATATATTATTACATCGTACGACTAAGACTCGCTTTCTATAATATTATAACGGCGCGCACACGACGTGTCCTGCAGCGTATTCGAAAGACCGTTAAAGGAATAATAATATTACAATAATAGCGCACGTGTGTATAATATGATATTATATATATAACAATAAGACGACAAGAACATTAACAAGACGAACCGAATGGTATAATAATATTAATTATTATTGCATATCTGCACAATAATAATATCATAATAATTAAATTATGTCGCAAACGAGAGCGGACGGCGCGCGTGACCGTCGTTGTCGTCGTCGTGTACGCAGAGGAACCGGAAAACGTGAAATGCGAATCGATCGTTTCGGCAAATTATTATTATTTACCATAAATGAAAAAATATATTACCATAGTTCGACCGTTGCAATCATCGTCTAGTACTGTCGTTCTGGGGGCGGCAGGGTTAATAATATTATTAATAATAAAATTGTACGTGATATAAAAATAAACCTGGTCTGTATACCATATACCTGGTGTATAAAACAATACGTTTTGTTACGATTTAATTTCGAACGTCAGCGACCGACGCATGTAATCAAGTTTGGAACGTATATATATCGCGTTATAATAATAATATGACGTATAGGTACAGGACGTATGTATACATGATTTTGGAGTGATCGAATAACGTGATTACGCGCGAGCGTTTCGCGTATCGTACTGGAAAACCAAAATTTCTCCTAATAATATAATTATAATATAATAGTACAGAATATTACGATAGGTACTATGATATTATTATAGATACGCACAACTCGACGGCGGAACGCATAGCCACTGGAAAATCGTTACCCAACTCGGATGTTAATATTAATATTATTGTTACTACAATTTGGCCCCAGGTATTATAACCGATGTCGCCGTTTCGATCAGTCGCAATAAAATATTATACATAATAATATAATATACGGAACAACAAACGCGCACTAAAAACGACGCGACCCGCCAAGGTACGTTGGAGGAGCCTTCCCGAACGATATTTAAAATTTTTTTGTTTACCAAAAAACCATATTTTATCGCTTAAACCCGTATTTTTTCGTAGGTGTTTAGAACATGGTACGACAATCACACATTTTCACAACCCCGACGCGCGTGGGGTAACAAATTGTATATTACTATAATATTATGTAGGTACAAACTATATACTATATCGAAACGCGGACCGCAAACGCGTACGTGCTCACGTACGTGTGGTTTTCGGACAACTATATAATAATGCACCATTATGCGCGTATATACGGTAAAGTACGTCGAACCGTATAATAATTGTTATCATTATCAAACAACGGGCACACACACTGGCGCGCGTCCGATGGGTCGGCATACGGTTTTACACATGATAATATTATACACCTATGTAATGATGGTGCAGTAGGTACATATTGTAAGTACGTTGTGTGCTAGTCCATGTACAACGTAATATATATATATATATAGATTAATATGAATATAATATGTATATTATGAACATGTGTTTATGTGTGTGTGCGTGGGGGCACACCTGTTAATGAACGCGATTCTTCGGTCTGTACAACGCCAACGGGAAATCGTCCAAGGGTCTCTGGGTGGAAGGGTATCGGGGTGGGGAGAGGATAATGAGAGGAGGGGATGACGAACCCGCATGTGGCTACAGCGGCGGCGGCAGTCAAGGTACGCTGAGCGTGAACGATTAAAAAAATAAAAACCACTAACATTACAAATGGTTTAAAATTCAATATCGTACCAAATACAGTATAATGCAATGCTGCACGCGTTATGCTGTCGTACCGTGAGAGATGCTCTAAATAATTGTACATAGTCGTTGTATCAACCTCATCATCGAAACGATATAATAATGTTGTATAAATTAAATATTATGAAACCCATGTGCCGCGCAACATTAGTAGTCAACATTAAAGTAAGTCCAACAAAGTGGGTAGAAAGTTATAAGAGATCATTGTTAGACAACTTTCAAAGTTTGATACAAATATTATTTTCGAAGCTATATAGGTTAGTTTCAATTTTGCGATGCTATATTCGAAGTAACAGCACAAAAAGTTTACATTTATTCTATTGCTCTGCTACTGTGGAGGAAGCACAAAATTACAAAGAATTATCGAGCGTCAAAAATAAATACCAACAAACTTTGAAAGATGTCTAAAATTTCTAATAAGCCGAGAAGCGGGGTTGAAGTAAAAAAAAAAAATCCTAGCGTCGAAATTAAAGTCCAAACAATTTTGAAATTTTTTTAATAATCACTAACAACTTGCCAACACATTTGTTTGATTGGTTAAAATGTTGACTGGAAATCTAGTAACGCCAACTTCACAAGTGATTAGTGTTCTCATAATAATAATAATAATATTATAAAGGACGGCATATTATACACACAGGACACAAAACAATTACGAAAATAAGTTAGCAACAATTAAAATTGAATATAATATTATAAATAACATTTAGTTCAAGTGACTAGAGTACATTCCAATTTGAGAAAATTATACCATTGGGCATTGACACAAACATTTGAGATTAATGGGAACCAGGAGGTAACTTGTAGTAAATCTAACAGACATTGCAACTTAATAATATTATGATTTAGCCCAATTTCGTCTGCATAACTATATACATTATACATATTAACATGAGATATAAGTGTATAATAACCTCATGCAGGATAACGCGACTTGTTCAAGATTACAATATTATGAGTTCACAGAGTTCGAGAGATGTTCTGCTTTCTGCGAGTAGAACCGTGTATAATTTCATAAATTATAGTTATAACATGATATTAAAATATGTCACAACACCGCTTGCATTTTTTCATTAAACTGTTATTAATTGCATATACAGCGGGCTTAATATTTTTCCAGTAAACGTGTTTACTAAGATACAAGATAATATACATATACAGTAATAACAAATACATAAATATCTATTTTAATTATGCAATAACTATAATATATAATATGTATATATTATATATGTTCAAGAACTGCTTTAATGGGACTGCCAAATCTCGTTTGTGTTAATATTTTCAAAAAATACCAAGTAGGTATAAAATATAATTTAATTAATCTTTCTACA